GATTTAGGGTTTTCTAATTAGGGATTTAGGGATTTTGATGACTGTTGGTATTCTGATTCAAGAAGCTGGGAAAAATATTGGGTTTAATCGGAGGATGGGAAGAAATTTATAGCCTTTTTGTTAATGACTTAGAGCATGTTTCCAATTTCAGCAATGAAGCAGGGCATTGGAGCTAGTGGTAAATCAGTCAACTTCCTTCTGGCTGATTCACTAGATGACTTAAGTGCAAAGATTTCAAAACTACCTGGTCCTATTAAGCGTAATTGGGTGAACTGATGTGAAATATTCTAACATTTTGGTCAAATCAAAAGCATCATCACTATCAAGAGGGGCATGGACATGGAAGGAAAATTGGCATTCAAACTGGGTGAGAGTAGTGGGAAGGAGTTCTGTCAAAACTGTTTAGCCTCTGCATTTCACAATATTGTTTACTGGAAGGCTATATTTGGTAGAAAACTAAATATGCGTAGTACGATCATAACCTCCAATTTTTTAAAACCTAAACGAGCAAGTGAAGTGGACTCCCTTCCAGCTTCTGGGTCAGCACAACCAATTGAACCTTTCTTCCTTAGCTGCATGATGTGTTTTCAGTTTTTTGTGGGCTTCAGATAATAATACTAACTTAAAACCACAGATCAAATTGACAGGTTATTTATGGTTAACAATTTCTACTATGCAGCCTGATGGAAGCCACTCCGATTCTTGACTGGACACATTAACCTTTCTGTTGGGTTGAGATGCATCCTATGTTATGCTGTGTATCAACTGTGAGCTAAATCTTACTGTAAATTTGCTAATGCATTACTATTAAAATGATTGTGTTTGTTGTGCACATTAGATTTGGTGAAATTGTTTTAGCTTCTATTAATTAATTGGGTCTTCATGTTTTTCTGCATTCTGCCAGATGCCAAGAGGTTGATAGGTAGGAGATTTAGTGATGCCTCTGTGCAGAGTGACATCAAATTGTGGCCCTTCAAAGTTATCTCCGGACCAGGTGATAAACCAATGATAGTAGTCAACTACAAAGGTGAAGAGATGCAATTTGCAGCTGAGGAAATCTCTTCTATGGTTTTAATTAAGATGAAAGAAATTGCTGAGGCATTTCTTGGTTCAACTGTAAAGAGCGCTGTGGTGACTGTCCCAGCATACTTTAATGACTCCCAATGTCAAGCAACTAAGGATGCAGGTGT